ACCCCAATTAAAACGCTACCCAACTGGTGTGATCACGTAAACCATAAATAATATCAGCAGTTGCTTTACGGACCAGCTCTACACTGTGACAACACACTACAATATGCACCAAGTGCAGACGCAAGAGCAGATGAAGGGACTAATTAACTAACAAAAGCGAATTCCCAGATCTGGGTCTGAAGTTAGCCCACTGAGAACTTGGATCCTCTCCAAGATAAAGATCAGGCAGCTGTAGGTGTGTGTGTGTGTGTGTGTGTGTGTGCGTGTGTGTGTGAGGGAAAGAACATTTTTTTCCTTTGCCACATGCAGAACTACCTTAGATGCAAGCACAGAACAGGCATTTTAAAAATTCTTATTTTTATTAATACGTGTTTGCTGTAATAATGATTCTATTCCATGTGGGGAGCAGGCACACATACACAACACATTTTAATTCTATTTTGTTTTGTTTGAGTCAGGGTCTCACTATGTAATTCAGAATTGAATGTAATTGGCTTTGAAATCACAATGATCCTCCTTCCTTGGCCTTCTGAGTGCTCAGATACTAGTCATGTGCCACCACTCCTGGCTTTAGTTCTTTCTTCATCCCGTTCTCCTCCCCCAAAGAATGGAAATTAAAGAATCAGACTGTATCTCTGCAGTAGAAGCCATCCCACTTCACATCTTAGCCTGGATCTTGGGTCACTGCTGCCTTACACAGGCTCTGAGCATGGAGGAAAAAGGATGGAGCAAATTCTCTCTGTTTAAAGCCTTTGGATAGACTTGCTCTTCTTTGAGAAAGATAAGCCAGTGGAGGGCACCTCCCTTAACATAAGGGACAGCCAAAAATTTAAACTGAGTAAAGTGCAGGACCATGTTTTGCAGAGTTAATGAGAAATGCTATTTTCCATTCTGTTTGGGCTATCAAAAAAAGAAAGAAAGAAAGAAAGAAAGAAAGAAAGAAAGAAAGAAAGAAAGAAAGAAAGAAAAAAAAAAAAAAAAAGTTCAAGGTAGCGACACTTACAAAGTATCCAGCTGACTGTATGCTGAACCAAGATGACTTTTTTCTTTTCTTTTTTTTATTACTATATGTTTGCCATATATAGCAAAGTTAACTCTGAATAGCTTCCAGAGGGTCACTTATCCCAGTTCACTCACCCCCATCAGAGAAGAGTCCTGGCCATTTCCCACTGAGACCAGCGGACAGGCAGAAGATGGAAGCCAGAAGGACATCCTCAGCCTGCATGCTGCCAACATTCGTGGACAGGGCTTTACTGGAATGCCTTCCTCTGGAAAGGAATGAGGAAAGGATGGGCAAGAGGCCCAGGACATTATCTGGCAGAAATTCTGTCACAAACAGGCTTGGAACCACCACCACCCCAAGCAGCTGCAAAACTAACCAGAGAAATGCCAAACACTGCCTCCCCTCCCCCAAGCCGTGCCTGAGGATTCCTGTTTTCCTAGTGGTTCATCATATGTGTGAGAGACAGACCAAGACACACCAAGGAAATGTGAGGGCTGGAAATACTGCCCAGTCGTGCAGCATGTGCCTAATATGCAGGGTCCTAGGTTTAAAGTGGAGAGCATGGTGGTGCACATTTGTAATCCCAGCACGTAGGAGGACTGCTGAGTTTGAGGCCACCCTGGGCTACAAAGTGAGTTCAAGACCAGCCTAAAGTACCTAGGGAGTCCCTGTCTCAAAATAAAACAAAACAACACAAAAGAATAAAAAAGGAAATCCAGCACATTTATTGAACCAAACCCCTGACCAGGTTCTAGGAATAGAAAGATACATTCATATTCAAGGTGGCCAAAGAAAGCTACATTGTGGATAAGACCCCATCACTATCCCATAATGAGCCTTGGAAGAGTCTTATGGTATGAATATTCAACTACTTTGGGGAATAAATGGCAAATCCTATTCCCTGGAGTCATTCCTCCTTCCCCAAATACACTTCAGGCACAATGCCCTATCTTCCCAGGATTCTGCAGAGAAGGAAACAGTTTTCCTAAATGTATGTTCTACCCTCACGACGACTCTGCTTCTGGAGAACACCCTATGCAGCGCCACTTTATCAGAGAAAACCCCAATGATCCAAGTCCCTTCTACTCTTGATTCCTCTGGTATTCCTCCTGTGATTCTTCTTGGTCACTTAGATTCTCTGCCCCTCTAAATTTGATGTCCTTTCACCTTCCTTCTCTCTCTCTTTTTTTTTTTTTTTTTTTTTTGCAGAACTGAGGATTGAACTCAGGTCCTTGCGCTTGCCAGAGAAGTACTTATTCCACTGAGCCATTTCCCTGGCCCCATGCTTCCTGCTCTGACAGACCCCACACAGGTGTTGTCTTCCAGAAAGCCTGTCTAGTAAGTGGGGCTGCGGGCCTTTCTGTGCCCTTTCTTGGCACTGTACTGGAGCTTCAATCAGCAAATCCATTTCACTTTACTCATTTTAGGGCATAAGCAGTTTCTCATTGAGCTTTACATCCCCTCCACCAATTACAGTACTTGGCACTGAACAGAGACTGAATAAATGTGCAGGGCACTAAATCCTTTGAATCAAAATAATATCAAGTTATTTCTTAGGAATGTTCAAATCTCAAAATTCTAGGGACAGATTAATGGTAAAAGCAATGTAGAGTAGGCTGGCAGCCAGCACATTATTCCTCAGTACTTCTCTGGCTGGAAGGCCTCCCTAGGGCAGGGCATGGATACTCAGATTCAGGACACTTTTTGCTGTCCTCATGTCTTCCACTCCGAGCTTCCTAACACAGCTCTCCTTCCAGAGAATTCCCGCTTTGGAGTAGGTGAGCCCTTTGCCTGAGGTGAGCACAGTTAGGCTATGCCCTAGTAAGAACTGCTGAATTATTATGGTGGTCATCTAACATGGCTGAAGCCCTTAAAGCAACAGCTTATCTTCCCAGAGACCACCTTCCCCTTCCTCCCCTACGCAGTCCTGGATACAATTCCTTCTCACCTTTGTCACACATACTGGGAGAGACCCCAGTCAGCTCCTCAGGTGTCACTAAACTTGTCCCTCCAACTCTACCCCTAGCAAAGGGCCTTAAAAATCTCAGCTTTCTTTGTCTCCGGTCCAAGGATTCCCCACCCCCCATCTTCCCCTGATTCTCTCCACATGTTTACAGTCAATAAAGGCTTAGTCTATCTTTTCTATCTCTTTACTGCCCAGAAGAACAATGTAAGAAGCACTCTAGGCCTCGAATGAGCAGATTCATGACTTTCTTTCTTTTTTTTTTTTCATGACTGTCAAGTTATTGTCTGGCAACAGAGTCTCTAGCTTCAAGGTGTGCATGATCAAGGTGCTGCCACCATACTGCCTGCTACACTGCAGGACACAAGGACGGTCACTCATTCACTCTGCAACTGTCCCTTGGGGGCCTGTGGCAGCAAGTGCATTAGGCATTGAGCCGAAATACAGAAAACAAGCTTCCTCTGAGTAGGGTTTACAGGAGATACCATTTTTAACCCCTGGAAAGGGACGGGCCCTTCCCATTTCCTCTTCCCTACAGTTGTGGAAGTCTTTCTAGCCAAATCTTAGGAAAACACTTGGTGACTAGTGATACAGGGAGAAAAACTGATCTTGGGTAGGTGACCTCCAAACCATATAGGGAACCTCCAAATGACATAGGGAAATAACGATCTCCCGACCTGACCTGCACGAGTTTGTATTCTCTAAAACCAAAGAATGAATTTTAGAAACAAATGGAGGTTATGAGCAGAATATATTTATTGAGGGAAAGGAAGCTCCTGTCCGAGAGATGGATGGGAGGGGAGCCCCAAGCCAGTTGTTCCCCCAGAAGCTATCTCTTCCAGGGACTTTTATAGTGCACAACCATGCCGGGCTAAGGTAAGAGAAAGGGGGAACTCGCTTAGGTGGATGTGGGGTGGGACAAAACTATGGTCAACCAATGGGATTACAAGCACCATTGCTCAGGTAAAACGCATTAAATCCAGTATCAAATGGGAAAGCCAGTCACATAGCAAGCAGGCATGAATATGAGACAGGGTCCCTCCCTGTTGGGGGTTGGGTTAGTGACTCATTTGGGCTCTTTCAAGACAATTGATACCTATTTAGAATATCAATCCTAAATGCTACTCGTTTAGCATTTGTTTGGCCTTTAGTGTGGTTCACAGCAGGAGCGTCCGTCCCTCCCACAGTTGTAAGGCATCTTGTCTTCTGTGCTGTCTCCTTTGAGGGCCTGGCCCTGTCTGACTGCCTGTAATATTTTTATCTAACTCGGCTGTCTACAACACTAGGACCAACAGAAGGAAGTCATGTCAATTCTTGCAGCTCCACGTCCAAAATCCAGGTGTCAGGGCAGGAATAACTTCTTGGGAAAGGTCTTCCTTATCTGTTTCTAGTTACTGCTTGCGGTGAGAATGCCAGTCAGGTTGAACAAGAAGGGTCCACCCCAGTGACCTTGCTTGATTACATCTGCAAAGACTATTTCCAAGTAAGTTCACAGTCCCTGGCACTGGAAGTTGGGACTTCAAGTATTTGGGAGGAGGGCACGATCCAATCAGCGCCACATTCTCTACACAGCGTAGTCTGGACATCACAGATCTTGGCCATCAACCCGAGCCTCTGCCATAGGTAGGACTGCCAGGCACCCGAAGCCCTCCCTTTGCCCCATCCCTTCTTCAAAGAGTTTACATGCCCACTCACTCCCAGGTCATCGTCGTTCCTGTAACGTGAGCCAATCGCGTTACACTAATCATGAACCCTACAATTAAAATAAGCGTAACGGTGTAGCTGAAGAATTTGGAGGAACAAGAGGGAAGGGGGCACGGGGGACACCTAACCTCACTTGATGCCAGGTGTTGCCCAGTTCCGCGGCGAGATACCGGTCCCAGGGAGGGCCAGGCGCGGAGGTGGCGGCCTAGGCGGCCGGAGGCGGACCCCTTCCCCGGCAGGGGGCGCGCGAGGCCTCCGGGTTGGGCGGGCGGGGAGGCCGGCGCTGGGCGGGGAGCCGCCCGGAGGGGCGCCTGAGCAAGTTTTTGGTTGGTTGCTACCCGGGTGCAGGCGGTCCCAGGCCCTTTTCTACCCGGACTCGCCCGTGTCTTCCCCTTTCGCCCGCCCGCTTGCTGCTCGGTAAGTTGATCCGCTGCCCCCGTGCCCCCGTGCCCCCGTACCCCGACCCCCGGACCCTCGGGGCTCCCGCCTGGGCCCCGGCACCCGGCCGGCGAGGAAGCGGACGGGGTCCGAGGCTCCTAGCGAGCGGTGTAATTCTGTCGCTAGCTGCAGACGGAGGTAATTGCGCCCACGCAGCCACTTCCTCGCCACACAGGTCTTTGCGTTGCCACTTTGGAAGCCACGTGGCTTTTGGGGAAGGTTTCGCGGAGAGTTCCGGGCGCCGGAGACCAGTGAGTCGGACGCTGAGCCCCGCGCCTGCCCCGCGGGAGCCCACAGTCTCCCCAGACCGCATTTAGGGGTGGCCCGCAGGCGCGCCCTCTGGGCGCAGGGAGGGAAGCCGGCCTGTTCGCCGGGGAGCAGCCGAGCTTGGGTTCTGCCCTTGCCGTGGCCTTGGGCGCCCGGCTTTGGAGCGCACGAGGCCGCTCTGCAGAGCCCCCAAGAGTTTCTAGGTCTGGGGGTGGTGTGCCTGCGCCCTGAGCACCAGTGAGCTTCGGGACGGCCGTTCCTGGTACACATGGCTGTAGAGTTAGATGTGTAAAGATCCAAGACTAGAGAAAGGCTGAAGGAATCATTAAGGTGCCATAGGAGCAGTTCTGTCCGGAGCCGCCTGGCTGACATTTCCCTCACCTGTGACTGATTGCCCTTTCACTGATCAAGAGGCTGAGCCGAAATCCATAGATAGTACTGCGCCTTCAGAGGGAGGAGGTGCAGGATCGGGGTCTGTGTCCCGGGAATCTTGTGCAGCCCTACTTGTGAGAGCAGTCCCCGCCCTGAGTACCTCGATTTCGGTCAGATGGCCCTGCACACAGACTGGGAAGTGAGTGCGTTGTTTTACTACTGCTGTAGGTTCTACAGCCGGTCTCTTCATTTTGGCCCAAGAGACAGAGTTTGGCATACCGAGGCAGCAGCCAGAGCCAGAGTCTATTTAAGGGCTGTGGAAACGGGAAACTTAGCAACCTTTGGGTGTAGTCTCAGCCCCAGTGTAAACAAGTAAATGATTTGATCTTTAAAATCTGGGACAGGAGTGCTTCCGTTTTTCCTAGGACATTATAAACTAGATACTATTCCATGCTAATGTTACAGACACCGTTGGAAGGATGATAACGGCTGAGAAGTCTCAGAGGACGAGGAATTTTGTTTCATTTCACTTCTAACTTTAATTTACAGAAAACTCCCAAATGTCAGAAATATGGAAGCTGTAGCTTTCTTTATAAAAGACTTCTAAGTGCTGTAAAAGTGTTCTATGTATTCCTCAAAGGCAGCGAGTAACTAGCCAAAACAATAGCCACGCTTCCAAACACAAAAGATGTAACGTGGTGTTAATGTTGCTGTCACTTTTTTTTAAACAGGCTCAGTGGAGTTCAAGATGCTGATAAACACAAGGTATGAACCTGTGGAAGAATTTGGGGGCTTGAGTTAGAATTCCTGGCCAAAGATGAGAACTGGAACCTGATTGCATGTGCTCTGCTCTGATGGGTGAAAGGATTTACCTGAGGCCAGCTTGACAGGCAGGAATGTACTAGATTCATTCTCCAGTCCTTTTGCTTTAGACGAAAAGGGGGGAAACCCTATAAGTGGATCAATACTATATAAAGCCAAGAGAAAGAAGGATTTTGAGTATTAAAAAATGTTGCTAGGTCTGCAGTGGGTGAAACTAAAATGTACTGTTTTTGTTATTAGTAATTACTGATTTTTTGTTTTAACAGGTCTGGTGCTTGAAAGAATTGGTGGAGCTCTTCAAGTAGATAAAGTATATTTGACTATGTTATAAAGAGCAGAGATTTTGCCCCCATCCCTTTTATTGTGGTAACAGAAGCGAATTTGAGAATTTTGTGTCTGTCCTGTAACACGGTTGACCCAGTAGAGACTAATTTCTTTTTCTTTTTTTGGCGGAATCAGGTATTGAACTCAGGCCCTTGCGCTTGCCAGAGAAGCGCTTATTCTACTGAGCCATCTCCCCAGCCCCAAGATTAAATTTTTTTTTTTTTTTGCGGAACCGGGTATTGAACTCAGGTCCTTGCATTTGCCAGGTAAGCGCTTATTCCACTGAGCCATCTCACCAGCCCCTGATTAATTTCTGTAGAATTAAAGTATTTAAGATTTTTTTTAATCACGTAGCCCTAGTCTGAAACTATTTTGATTTATATGCTTTATAAAGGTGACTGAGACTAATTGATTTAAGATCAGAAAATTTAACTAGCTACTTTATATAACTAATATATCTTTTAAAAAAAACATGGTCTTGTACAATAGATCATTTTAGTGAGATTTTCTTTTGGCAACACAAATTGCTTCTAAGGTGAGGGAATGGTTGACTGCAGAGAGGCAAGAGGGGCTCTTTTCTGTGCTTACATCTTGTTCCACAATTGTTCTACTAATGGTGATTACATAGTTATGCATCTTTCAAATCTCACACTTGGTGGATTTTTTTTATTGTTTTGTGGAACCAGGGATTGAACACTTGGTGGATTTTACAGAACATAAATTGAAGACCAAGCCCAGCACATGCAAGTGTGTGAGAGCTTCCATGCTCCCTTGTACCCACTAGACCTTTCGGGACCAAGCCTAGGCCCACCACATGAATGGGACCTTCTGCTGCGCTCTCGGGACCCCTCTAGCCCCAGGCCCTGCAAGTGGGAGAGCTTCTGCACTCCCCTGCACCCCCTGGACCCTTCCAGACCCAGCCCAGGCATGGGGTGAAACTCTGCAGCTGAAGTCCCTGCAGAGAGACTAAGGGCCAGAACCACCCAGCTAATCCAGGAGCAGAATATCTTGCCAGAGGGGCACAACAGTTTCACCTCCCAAGGGCTGCAGCAGGAAAGAGCTGAGCACAGAAGCCAGACCCAAGCCAGGCACAACTGGATGAACTCAAACTTTAGTAGATCTACACCCAAATTTCAGTAGGCGCTAAGGTTATAACTGCACCAAAGGTCAGAGGACAGTGCTACACAAAATGACAAAGAGAAGGAGCAAAAAGCAATCTTAGGCTCAGCCCACCCAAAACAAGTGTAGAGGACACTAGCACAGAAGAAATTAGGAATCACACAGCTGAAATGTCTGAATCAAGTGTCTGAAGTA